TTGTAGTTGTTTGCTTTAATTGAATCATTTTTTAGAAAATAATAATAATAATAATAATAATAATAATAATAATAATAATAATAATAATAAATTGTAAGACGTGTTCCCGTACCATTATCCAAAATTCGAATCATTTTTAACCATATCCTCATATCTTAATTTTTAAAATGAGATGGATCAAACTCCTGGATATGTACCCATATCCGACACCAGTACTCGAGTCCAAGCAACATAGTTCAAGAGTGATGTGCAAAGCAGCTACTTAACTAGTCAATTACCTTATAATTTGGACTATTTCTTTTGGTTAATTAGAAAATATCTAATAGTAGGGTATGAATAATTTATTATAAGTTGAGATACTTAGATGGAAGTTTTTTGCTAGCTTCCGCCCTCTTTCAGTCTCGTTTACACCTTGAGAACTCTCTCTCCCAATATGATTATAATAAAGTTATCGTGATTTTTACAAAAAAAAAAAAAAAGAAGATAAAAATAAAAATAAAAATAAAATAGAAAGCGGGATTCGTCATTAGTTTTGCAATATATATAAACTCATAAAAGCACATCTATATTGGTTCTCCATCTCACATCATGCATTGTATTGCATATTGTTGATGTCACTCTAAACTAACTAGTAATGATTTTGGAGACAGATTCTACTACAGTGTCCTAAGAAAAGAAAAAAGAATATAAGAAAAATATTTTCTTATTCAACGGCCCCTAGGTTAGAAAAACCTTCAATTTGTATTGAACTCCTTTCGTATCTGCTCACACTTATTATGAAAATGAGATTTATGATCTCTTTCCCAATTATTTAGTCGTCGTTGTGGAAATGAAGAAACAAAAGATGACAGCAAAGCTCTTGAGAAGATATTTGATAAAGAAAGGTAACAAAAAAGACTTATGGCCAATGTTTGATGTAGCTTAAAAACTTGATAACAATCTAAGTCAAAGTGAATGATTAATTTTATATACACAATTCATGAGACCCATAACTTTTCAGCCACACATTTTATCAACTTTTATAAAAATCTACTAAAAATCCGATTTTTACCTACAACAAACAGGG